CCTCTTCTGGAACAATTCAGTTAGGACCAGGTGGGGTCGGGGCTGCTATGGCCCAGAGCGGACTGTCTGAGCCCAAGTGTGGCAGGCTGGGTGGCCTGGCATCTGCAGTGTTAGCCTGAGTGTCCTGAGGAGGGCATGTGAGTGGGGTGGGGACAGCGGCAATGGGACCTGAGTTACATGCAGGGATGAATCATAAATAAGCATATTTAAGGTAAGAGTCACAATGGCAGAAGAGGTAGAAAGATGGACAGAGACAATCAGAACGTGCCCCATAGCATGGAGCAGAGACTGCGGGTGCCGGTGTGAAGTCGGGGCTGAGACACATACAGATAGAGAAGGAAACAGACATGTAAGTACATACGTCTAGTTTCTAGCTCGGTCCCCAGAGAGGACCCTGGAGCAGACACAGCCCAGCAGCGATGAGCCCATCCTGACTTCTATCATCCTCCACCAAAAGGAAACAGGGTTTTGTGGAGAAATGGCTGGTATCGGGGCCACAGCAGAGGACAAACAAAATGAGCCAGATTTTAGGAATAACTCAGAGAACGTTGGAGGCAGGTGAAAAGGGACAGGAAACTGCTCAGACTCCCAAGGACCAATATGGGACAATCTGAGCATCAAAATAAAGAGAATACAGTTTACAATTCTCGGGATACGTAGGAAAGCAGGCGTCTGGGCACACGTACACAGAGAGTTTGGTGCGGACTACAGTATTTACGTGTGTAAACACACACCACAAAATCCACGTTAACTGGATTTTCGGTAGAGAAGCCTGACAGACACACGATCAACCTGAGCAGTATCAGTAATGGAACAGAATGAAATCGCATGGCGCCGGACTAGAAGCAGTGGGAACACAGCATCACTTTGGGGACATTCCTGCTGAAAAGATATGACCCAATCTAAATTGTGAGGAAATCAGACAAACCCAAACTAGGGAACATTTTACAAAATATCTCAAGGTCATGGAAGTCACATGAAGACTGAGAGACTGTGACAGGTGGAAGGGGACTGCAGAGACATGCAGGAGCGGGAATGGTTCTGACTCCACCCTTCTGTGACACAGAACATCAGGGAGCAGCACTTGAATGAGGTCTGAAGGCTGAACGGCAGTTAACACGTCGATGTTAATTTTCTGATCGGATGGCGGCATTATGACTATGTCGGGAGAATGTACTCGTTTGTAAAATGTACACAATGAGGTATTTGATGAGGCATCACGTCGGCAAATACTCTCAGATAATTTAGAAATACTTTTAATAGTTTTTTTTTTTTTTTTTTTTTTTTTTAAATAAAACAACTACTATTGCAGGTGAAATTCCAAACTAAAGCCAAGGGCTTGCATATCCTAGAACTGTCTCTGCCACTACTTCCCCAGCTTCTCAGATTTGTTTGTGAGACTAAAGGAACTTAACTTCTCATTAGACCGTGACGATCACATACATATATGATACAAATGAAACACATCTACATATTGATACGGATCTTATATTGCTAAGATGTAAAGCCTATGAATGCTTGCAGATTTAAGCACATCCTTTGTATCATGGCATCAGAAGAGACTCTAAAGAACCAAAACAGATTTAAGTGATATTTTAAAGGTTTACTGAAAACTTCTAATCCAAAACTTAAAAGCCTGGAACATGGGGTGCCTGGGTGGCTCAACGGGTAAAGCCTCTGCCTTCGGCTCAGGTCATGATCCCGGGGTTCTGGGATCGAGCCCCGCATCGGGCTCTCTACTCAGCACGGAGCCTGCTTCCTCCCCCTCTCTCTGCCTACTTTTCTGCCTACTTGTGATCTCTGTCAAATAAATAAATAAAATCTTAAAAAAAAAAAAAACAACAAACCTGGAACATTCACTAAAATATAAAGTTCTTGCAAACAATTTCTAAGCATTTCCTGTGCTAATCCAGACCCGTTTCTGGCACTAGCTGAACAGGTTCTCCCAATCTCTGTCCATCATCTGTGGTCAGCATCTGTCTGGCCTCTCCCTCTGCTGATACTCAAAGTAGTTAGGGGTTGGCCCTTCTTTGGCCTTCAGATTCAGAGCGTCCTGGCCTTCCCCCTGGCCTAGCAGAACCTCAGCTAGTGAAATACTTTACTTCTGTGTCTGCTTCCCTGTCCTGTGCACCCCAATGGCTGGACTACATCTTAGTCCTCTCTCTGTACCCTCTGGGCTTCACACCACCCTCCTCCAATTCAGTCCACATTAAGTCTTTTTAGATTGTTAGACACTGGTACCTTGGACTGGATCCTGGACCAGATAAGAGACAATGAAAAAACTGGTGAATTCCAATTCAAGCGAATAGTACTGCACCAACTTTAATTTCTTAGTTCTGATAAATGAGCCATGGTTATATAATTTGTTAACACAGCGGAAACCAGGTGAAAGGTACATAGATAGGAACTCTCTATGCCAACTTTGTAACTATTCTGTTCATCTAAAATTATTTCAAGAGAAGCAGTTTAAAAACAAAAGATGTTAGAAAAGGATTTTACTTTGAGCTGCCCAGAGAAGACCTACTTACTCTGTGTCTTTTCTTTCTTGAAGTACTTCATTCCAGCCAATAAAGCTCCACCGATTGCAAATGTGAATGCCAAAGACTTCCAGGAAACAGGCTACTGGGGCAGAGATTTCAGATAAAAATACTAGTAAGATGCAAACATTTTTTTCATACTAAATTTACTATCATGGCGTTTAATGTACATAAATACAGGTCTTGATCCGGTTAAATATGTAGAACATTCCTGTGACTCTGGGGTGAGAAAGTACTGACAGTGGGTGGTTATATTTGGGCTGTGATGACAATGACAGGGCCATTCATTTCCAAAGGGAAAGTGATTACGTGCAGGACGCCTGAGTGGCTCAGTTGGTTAAGTGTCTGCCTTCAGCTCAGATCATGATCCTGGGATCCTGGGATCCTGGGATCGACCCCACATCGGGCTACCTGCTCAGCAGGGAGCCTGGTTCTCCCCCTGCCTGTGCCCTCTTCCTCTGACAAATAAGCAAAATCTTAAAAAAAAAAAAAAAAAAAAAAAGTCGTTAAGTGCATTTCATGTGAAAGACGACCCAAAGCTCAAGTCTCATGACTGTTACTAAGGGTCACCCTGACACCAAATGCTGATTTCAAAACCGGTTAATGATGTGATTGTGCTGATACTGGGAACATAAATGAACCAAAAGAAATTCGGGACGTTGACCTAACTCTGGCTTCCAGAAGTAACTAAGCGAAAGCAGAAATGAGCTTCTTGCAAATTATTTCTTTGCGATCTTTTTCAAGTCCCAAGGTAAGAGGTCAAGTACCTCGGCCTCATTCATTAACCTACCTCCCCCAGCTTCTAGACCCCATTTCTCTTACCCAACACTAGTGGGTAGTGGCTCTCAGGTTCTCCTGGGGTCAGAACTAGAACCTAAGAGAAACCAAGGAAAAAGGCATACCCTGCACGCAACTACGACCCCCATTTTGCTCAATTTCAACACATACGCCAAACCTCTAAAGGCCGTTCAAGTGACAGAAGCAAACATGTTCTGGATCCTCAATCCTGGCCAACGTAAGGCTGAGACCCCCCCCCAACCCCCAGGAGAACCCGAGCCCTATTTCGGGATTATTTTGGGAGGAGGGGGCGCAAAAATAAAACCAAGCCCGAGAATCCAGCCGCGTGGGGAAGACGTCGGTTCTCACGTTCTCCCTTTCTGGCTGGACTTCGAGGCGAAGCAAGGGAAAGGCGGGAGGGGAGTCTGTGACCAGGGTAAGGCTGAGCCGGAGGCCACTTCCGAGGTCACCACCAAACGGGGCGGGGAGGCCGCGGGGCAGTGTGCAGGCGCGACGAGTAAAGGGAGGGCTGCGGGTGTGCACTCACCCCGGGCTTGGAGGGGCGCGTGGGGTCTCTGCCGCCCTTGGGCTCCGGGCCGGACGACCCCGGCGGGGGCGGCACCCCGGTGCTCCAGGACCGGCTTCCCCAGCCGCAGCGGGCGAGCTGCGAGGTCAGCCTCGCCTCCTCTCGCCGCGCGCCGAGTTGCCTCAGCCACACTCCGGCGGCCCCCTCCGCCGACCCCCAGACCCTGAGCCCGTAGGGCAGGAGCCGCCAAAGCCGGCCCCCCAGAAGCAGCATGCTGGGGCCGGGGACCACCCAAAACCCCGCCAAGCACTCGGGCAAACCGCGCCTCCTGGGCCCGCCCCCCGACTTCCGGCGCCGTTCCCACTTCCTCCGGAAGTCGCCGGGGGCCGCTCTCTGCGCTCCACTCGTTGGTGGCGAGGTCGCCCAGCCGGTAGCCAGGGAGCCCAGGGCTGTGCAGCCGACGCGCGGTAGGTGGTTCCTCGCGGCTGGAGGCGGGCCCAGTCGGGGCTGGGCGGGGGCTTCGCGGCGCCGGCTGGCTGGCGGGCGGCGCGGGCGGGCGCGGGAGGCACCCGCGGGAGAGCGGCCTTCCCCCACCCCGCTCCCAGTCCCCACCCGCGTCGCCCCGCCGTCCGCCCGGAGCCGCAGGGCGCGAACCCCGCTGCCTCCCTCCCGGGGTGCAGACGGGCCCGTTGCACTTGACGCAGTCTCGGGCCGTTCGGGACTCGCTCGCCAGGCGCTTCCAGCCGTTCCCGCGTCGCGCTGTCACCTCGCCGGGAGCAGCAGCGCCCACGAACTCGCCGGTCCTGCGCCGTGTCCCCTCCCCAAGTCGGTCGGCTGGGCCCCCGCGTCCTAGGACGCTCTCGCTGGCTCCCCTCCGCGCTGCGGTTTCAGGTGTGGGGATGATGTCCTCCCGCGGGACCGCGTCTCTCGGCCGGGGACAGCCCCGTATCCGTGGGCGCGGAACATCCGCGGGCAGCTCCTTCCAGGCCGGCGAAGGTGCAGCTTGCACGCTCATCCTCTTTGCCTGTGTTTTCCTCCGCGTCTTTGCACCCTAAACGTCTCCGCTGTCCACCTCCGCGCTGTACTGGCAAGCCACAGAAAAAGGGCGATGGTGGGGGTGGGGAGGAGAAGAGCCTTCAAATTCTCTTCCTTAACTTCAGATTCCGCTCCTGCGTGGCTCGGTAGGGTCAGGGAGCTTCCCGTGAGCAGAAGCAGCTCGCGCCCCGGTGCTTGTGGGACTGGATCCCGTTGTGTCTGTGACTTGACATAACTGGCCAGGGAAGTGTGCCCCTGCCCAACAGTCGAGCTGGACTCTGCTGATACCCATGTTTCTTCCTTCCCGAGTTGAGCTGGAATTTTCTGGAAGTTCTGCTCCAAGTACATGGTGCACTTAACATCGTTCTCAAACGAATTTTTCTGTCCTGAGGTTACCCGTGGGTGAGATTTTTTTTTTTTTTTTTTAAATAGTATCTGTGTATTTCTTTGCTCTGGGAGAAGATTTCCCTCAAATTGCTAGAAAAACGCAAAAATGCCTTACCGTTCAGGCAATGGGCATATGCAGTTTTTGACCACCTTTGTCAGTGCTCCGCAGGATGTTAATGATGCCAGTCATATAAATTAAAATACGGTGTTGTTTTTAGCTGGTCTCTTAAGTTTCATTTGCCAAAGTGATTCTTTTACCAGCTTTTACCAGCTTTATCCTTCATTTGTTTACCTCATCCTTGCTTCCTATCTTTCTCTTAACAGTTGGCAGTATCAGTTTGCACTTCTATATTAAAAAATAATTTCTTTATTTCATAAAACTGTATATTCCCTGTCCTTAGCCTTACTTTTAAAAGCCATATGTCTTTGACATTACAGATCTGTTTTCTGCCCCAAAACACATTACTGTTTTGAAGTGTACGGCCTTTGCTGCTTCTCGGCACATTGCTTAATTTTCTTTAAAAGGTCTGCATATCTTCATTTACCCCTGAGTTTCTCTAAATTGAACAGTGTTCCAGTGGAAAGTGTATCTGATGAGACTTCTTGCATAACACAACAGGAATCTTAGAGCCAATTCAGTTTGGCTTGACTCAGAGGAGAGTGAGTTTATTTATTGACTGATTTACGATTTTACTTATTTGAGAGAGGGAGAGCGTCTAGGAGCACGAGGTGGGGTGGTCAGGGAGAGAGGGAGAGAGAATCCCGAGCAGACTCTGCTGAGCGCTGAGCCCAACTTGAGGCTCGATCTCATGACCCTGAGATGATGAGTTGAACAGAAACCAAGAGTGGGATGCCTAACCGACTGAGCCACCCAGCGCCCCAGAGGAGAATTTAATGGCCAATAGAACCAAACGACTGAGAGCAGTTCTAGCAGAGACAGGTGGATGGATCCAGGTGTTCAAGTCATGTTTCCAGGACCTGACTTCTTTGCATCATTCAAATGTGCTTCCTTCCAGGTTGGGTTTCTTCTCAGGTAACCTTCCCCAGCGGCTCTGGCCTTTGTCTTCAGCGTCGCACGAGTCGTTGCCCCAAAAGTCCCTGAGCTGTTGCTCACTGTCTCCGGTGTGGGTCCTATGCTTACCCCCAACTGACCAGAGAGAAACTGGGTGCTTATGGGCCAGGCTTGGCTCACATGTGTGCCCTTTTGGCAGCCAGGGGGTGAAGGTCACAGCAGATACACTGAGATGTGCAGATGCCTGGAGAGGCCAGAGGTGCTGTTACCAGAAGAACAGGAAATGAATACTGGCTAGGCAGGCACAAATAATAGCTTCTCCTAGAAGATCAAATTAATTGGGACTAAAAGCTCTCCTTAGGAGATCCGCAGTATGGATTATCACCTTAAAGCCATGAGTTCACAGACGAAAGCAAGCTCATTTGGCAAAGGATAAAAGCCTCCCCAGAAACTGTTTTCTCTTAAGCTTGGTAATAATGTTCCAGTGATACATGTACCCGATTATCTTCTGGTTGGACTCTCCTATTAATTGTACTTTGAATCACAAACTTTTGAAACCTAGTAAGACTATAAGTTTTCATCTAACTTAGATGAGTCTTAGGTTTGCTGAATCTTGAGTTCTCCACATTTCGGATCAGATGATCTCAGCCACTCTACAGATATATTAGCTGGCATGATAGCTACTGGGTTTTCAGACGGGCACTGCAGGATGAAACAAGCAAATGGGGAAAAAAAAAGTGTCACAACACTAAGCCATTTTTCAGGATTTCCAGCCTTTTTCTAATGCTGCTTTATTCCTGTGCTAGGGCTAGTAATATCCAACCTGGTTAAGGAAGAAAGGAAAGTCGCCGAAGCTCCTAGTTGGGTGGATCCCTGGTGACGACAATTTCGGAATGAAAAGAAGCCTCTCGTTCTCAAGGAGGTCATACTGCTGTCTGGCCCTCTTGCCGGCTGTGGAGTGATCCCCTCTGCCTAGGACAGTGATGCTCTGTCAGCGGGCATTTCACGTATCCGTGGATGATTGAAGAGAAGTCGGGAGCTGTAGTGGGCTACTGGAGACCAGGAGTTCAGGAAGTAATTTGAGAAATGCCACATGAAGCTGTTTCAGAAACTGCAAGGGTTTGATACGCTTCCATCCCACAGCACAGTGTAGTACTCTAGGTTTTAGAAGATTAGTTGATCGTTTAGGATCATGGTTTTTAGTTTATTTTTAAATATTTTATTTGAGAGAGAGAACAAGCAGGGGGAGGGGCAGAGGGAGAGGGAGAAGCAGACTCCCTGCTGAGCAGGGAGCCTGGCATGGGACTTGATCCCAGGACCCTGGGATCCTGACGTGAGCGAAAGGCAGACACTTAACCCACTGAGCCGCCCAGGCGCCCCGGTTTTTATTTTTAGTCTTTAGTGTTCTTAGCTCTTTTGAGGCATTAGAAATGATTATAAATTTAGATTGTAAACAGTCTAGTACAATAATAGCTTTTCAGGTCCAAATCCCTTGTTCTTGGCTAGTGTGGCAGATCACGGGGGAGAAGAAAAGATGATGTATTTTCCATCTCGGTTGTGGGGACAGCGTGGTTAACATTCAGGTTAAAAAATGCTGGTTCAGGTGGGAATCTAACAACCGAAGAACCAGGAACTATTTGTCAGAAATGAAGATAGTCACGTCAATATTTTAGTTTTTGTTTGTTTAAAATGATTCCCTTCCTTTTTCATTTCCTCCCCCTGTTACCCCAGATATAAAATATAAGCAAGTTCTTTCAAGTGACCTACCTACCAAAGAAGACAAAAGATCCAGCCTGAAATAATCTGTAGCAGGAATCTAATGTATAAAGTACAGGGAATGAGTGTAATACATAACTTTCTATAAAAAGAATCCTGAAGTTTTGATAGAATTGTTTTGGTATTTGTGGAAGAAAGTACTCTGTGTGTGTGTGTGTATGTGTAAAAACTCGTGCATATTTCTTAAATATTACAAGTTCTACCAGACGTGAATTTGGCTTCCCTGGATTTAGAATGCCTATTCATTAACAGGATAATACCCTTTTGTAAATTACTCTTCTGAAGAATAGAGGTTATTTCACAGAAGAGAAAACTGAGCTTCTTCAAAGACTTGGGACTTCGGTCATAGGGCAATTAGATTTTAAGGCCCATGTGCTTTTCTCTCTACCACGCTACCTGGTGGATTAACTGTTAATACTTCACCATCCTCTTCAGCCCATTTAGAAAAGTAAGATGTTTATGGTGCCATTATGTTCTCTATTTTGTTTAGAAACCCGCTTGGAGGTTATGGACGATAAGCCCGAGCCTGGAACCCTGACTGAGAATTCGGAAGTTCTCTTCTCCTTTGGAGTGATAGCAGATATCCAATACGCTGATTTAGAAGATGGCTATAACTTCCAAGGCAACAGGCGGAGATACTACAGACACAGTCTGCTTCACCTACGGGGTGCTATCGAGCACTGGAACACGGAGGGCCGCCCGCCCCGCTGTGTGCTTCAGCTGGGAGATCTCATTGACGGATATAACGCGCAATACAAAGTGTCCGAAAAGTCGCTGGAACTTGTTATGAACACCTTCCAGATGCTCCAAGTCCCCGTTCATCACACGTGGGGGAACCACGAGTTCTATAACTTCAGCAGACACTACCTAACAAATTCTAAACTTAACACAAAGTCCCTAGAAGACCGGATTGTGCGTGATCCCAAGACGGTGCCTGCGGAGGATTACTACGCTTATCACTTCGCCCCGTTTCCCCAGTTCCGGTTCATTTTACTGGATGCTTACGACCTGAGCGTCTTAGGCGTGGATCAGTCCTCTCCGAAATACCAGCAGTGTCTGAAGATACTGAGGGAGCACAATCCAAACTCGGAGTTGAATAGTCCGCAAGGTGAATTATTCCTTTGAGCTGAGAGTCTAATACATTGTCTTTCCATTCTCCAGCTACTTTTTATTCAGCAGGAAGATGGATGATTAAGGTAAAAGCATATTGTCGCTGTTGTTCAGGGGCAGGATTTCTCACAGGCCTCGTGGCGTGTGCATTGGTTGCCGTCAGTTCAAGATCCATTTATTTAACGGGTATCTGAATGCCTCTTTTGGGCAGGCCCTTTTTCAGGGGCTGGCTCTCCAGAGCCAGAGCAAGGCTGACAGCGTCACCTTTGTTTTTCTTTTAACGGAAGGAGCGGAGAAAGCAAGAGAAGTAGGCGGGCAGGACAGGCCATAAATGAAACCAATAGAATTACGTCCACAGTAAGCAATGCTACCAAGAAAATGATGTGTAACGTTAAAGTAAAAGACGCAGGGTAGTGTTTTAGCTTAGCCGGTCAGAGGTGGCCTCCCCCAGGGAGAAAAACATTTAAGCAGAAACCCAAATGATTAGGAGGAGTCATCCTTGGGATGTACGGGGCGGATGGAATGTTCAGGACAGAGGTGGGGCAGGTGGAAAGGTGCTGAGCAGAGTGACACGTCAGCCTCATGAAAGGGCTCAGGAAAAGGCCAGCGAGGCGCAGGGTTACTTGTGAGGCCCTGTGGACACAGCCAGGGGCCTGCGTTTTGTTCTCAGTGTAACACAGAGCTAGTGGGGTAAGCAGGGGAGTGGGATATGGGCCATTTATCTGTCTGTCGCTCTGAATTCTTGTGGTTTCCTATTTTAAGTCAAGTGCTGCCACACATTCCTACAGGAAAGTGCAGGTGTGCCCCCGTTAGCCAAGTGTGCGTGCCCAGAGGAGGAAAGAGCGGACATCTGCTGGGTCTGACGTGCTGCATTCATTTCAGGACTTTCTGAGCCCCAGTTTGTCCAGTTTAATGGAGGATTCAGCCAAGACCAGCTGAACTGGTTGAATGAAGTTCTCACATTCTCTGACACAAACCAGGAAAAGGTGGTGATTGTGAGTAAGTATTTGAATTACTTGATCATGCCAGCCTTTTAGAGAACGGAAAAGTGAGGTCCCAGAGTTTACTAATGGTACTTGTGTCGTGATGTCCTTCTGCTGTCAAATGAATGCTTACCTTTCTTTACTGAGAACCTGAGTATAAGAGTGACATTTACAACTGAATCAGGAAAGAACCGTAAAATAGAAAAAAAGCATCTTGCCATGTATTAGTGCCTGTGCATTGGCCTTTTAGGTTTCTGAGTAGAATTTCAGCACATGGAATCGTTTCATGTCGTACAGTTGACCCTGGAACGGTGGGGGTCAACTGTACGACCCCCACACAGTCGAAACGGTGGGGGTCAACTGACCGACCCCCACACAGTCGAAAATCCATGTACAACTTTTGACTCTCTAGTAACTTAACTCCAAATGGCATACTACTACCTTACGGATAACAGTTGATTGATGCATATTTTGATGTTATGTGTATTATATGCTGTCTTCTTACAATAAATAAGCTCAAGCAAAGAAAATGTCTTAAGAAAATCATAAGGAAGAGAAAACACATTCACTGTATTTTCTGTGTTTTCTGTAAAAATGTATGGATAAGTGGACCTGCGTGGCTCCAACCTCGTTCATGGGTCAAGTGTGATACATGAGTGAGCAGTTCAGGCCAGACCCCATACCCGGCCTCAGCCTCAGGAGACCTGCTGTTCAGTGTGGTGGCCGCCAGCTGGGGGCCTCTGCTGTCTAGTGAGAAGCGACGCTGGTCACGGGACCCGTGTTAGAGACTCACCTGGCAGTGAGAACTTCAGTTCTAGACTCTCTGCCACGTGTTTGCGAGGAAATGAGATTGCTGTTATTTCCACCTAGAATCGTCTTTTGCAGATGCGCTGTCATCACAGGTCGTTAGGACTCTGGAGGTGCTTAACATTCACTCAGCTGCAGGTGTGCACGCACACGTGTGTGCGTGTGTGCATGCACATGGGGCACTGAATTTGGATTTGCAGCATAGCTGGTGTACTCACTTTGGGCACTGAGCGTAGAGCCTTGCTTTAGAACTGATGTGGCTAACGGCACAGAAGACCGTGCTCGGGGTCCCGAGGATGGGAGGCCCTCCTGTGCACATTTGTTTCTGTGAGCTGGGTGAGCCTGGGTAAATGTGGAGCCTACAAACCGTGTTTCTTCTCTGGATGGCACAAATGGAATTACGAACGTGAAAATCCCTTGAAAATGACAAGCTCTTCTGATAGTTGATCTAAAAGTACGCGTCCATAAATACTTGTGAGTCTTTACCTGACGTGGGGCAAACAGGTAGATGGGAGCAGGAGTGTGTGTGCTGCCGTGGGACTTTGAAGTGTCCCCCCAGGCTTGGAGAGTACGGGACGCCCAGCAGGTGTTGGTGCGATGTGACCCTCTTGCAGTCTACCGTAGGTGGTCTGAAACCGGGACACTTCTCGACCTGTCTCTGCTGGTTGGCTTCCCGCTGCCAGGCTGTGCCTGTCACCTCAGAGAATACTAGAGCTGAGAGGGACTGCAGGTCATACCATAAGCCCATTCAGTTCAGAGATCGGGAGACTGAGAAATTAAACGACCTAGTAGTGTCACAGCGCATGGTTTTGGCTGAGACTTGAGTCCCTCCCATCTCATTTCCTACCCTGTCCTATATTCCCCCGTCTCCTCTTCCATCTGCGCCCCTGTCTGCATTAGCCACCACTTAAATTCCTCTTTCACTATAAGCTCAGAACCTGGATGAACAAATCTTTGACAACTGGGTGCGTCAGGTTATCTGTAGCAAAGTCTTAAATATCTGATAGCAGTTTTCTTTCATTTTACTTTGCTCTTTGACTTTGCATTTTGGCGACTGAGAGGTCATTTTGCCCTCACCTCTGGGGTTTTGGCCGTGCAGTTGGAAGGCTTGCAGGCTCTTCGCTGACATACGGGGTGCTGCCGCAGGAGCGGGTGCGCGGTGGGGAGTTCAGGGGTTTGGCCATGGAAAGGTTAAGTTTCAGATGCCTGTCAGGCATCCGTGCAGATGCTGACAAAGCAGTTTGGATGTTGGGTCTGAAATTGAGTGGGAGTCTGGGCTGGGTATAAACATGTGGGCGTGGGAAGAATCCTGGAGACATTCGAGACTTCACTAGATCACCAATCACTTTACTAGATTTGAGAAATTACTAGATCACCAGGCCCTTAAGGGTTAGTAGGGAAGCGGAGCCCAAGGTCCAAGCATTCAGGCACTTCCAGTAGGAAGTGGAGAGACATGGAGACCATGGAGGGGAATGAGAACTCGTGGCCGTTGAGGCTGGAGGAAGACGTGGGCGACTAGTGGTGTCCCGGCAGCCCAGTGTTTCAAGGAGCCGAGGGGGTGGGGCAGTCACTGTGTCAGAGGAGTCCGGTGTGACCTTTTGATCTGGAGAGTCACGGGCCCCTTTGAACTCTGAGCCATCATCACGGCTTCAAGGGTGGTCGTGGTGTGTGTGTGCGCGCGTGTGCTTGTGCATACTAGTAAGTTCTTCTGATGCCTTTGACTCTTTAGGGATCTGCTAACACCCTCCTTTGTAACTTGTATTACAAACTGATACTAAACAGTAAAAATACTCATAAGAAAAATTCAGAATAAACTTCGGTAACAAATAAATAGTACCAAAATAGGAAAGTGATTTCAGGGCAAGAAGCAAAGCTGAGGGAGGGAGCTTTGTGCCTGTGCTCCACAGTGAGACGCGACGTGACCTCCTGTGTGTCTTGGCGTCAGGAATTCGAAATCCTCTTCGTTCTACTTCCACATATGTCCTGTGGGACCGAGTATAAAACCTCCCCGCTCTACCTCACTGTTCTCATCGTTCTCATCTGTAAAATGGCTCCGGCTCCTGGGACCTCATGGAGGTGTTTGAATCCGTTTTAAAGCACTGAGTGTGTAAATGACCTATAACTCATGACCCACCTCCAAACTGTTCTTAAATTTAGGGGTACCTCTTTCTGCGTACCCAGCACTCATGTTTAAGAGACTCATGTTAAGAGACTCCAGCATGGTATCTGCCTGGCTCCTGGCCGCCCTCGCTCGCCATTGCGCACAGGATGCCCTCAGTTTTTCTCGATGTTTGTGCCTCTTCGGATGTTTTAGGCCGTAGGGATCTCAGGGATTCTGCCTGGACAGTGGCCTCTCCCCATGGACGTGGACTGCCTCCCCCTTCCGTTTGCTGCAGAGATGTGGCTGGAGATGATCTAGTTCTTCTCTCTGGTCTATTTGAAATAAGTAGCAATATCCTTTTTTTTTTTTTTTTCCTAAGTACTAGTTTTTAGTACTTATTTATTTTGATGAAAGAGACATTTCCTCATTGGCTCATAACTCTTCTTCTCTTTAACTAACAGGCCATCTTCCCATTTACCCAGAGGCCTCCGACAGTGTGTGCCTGGCCTGGAATTACAGAGACGCCCTGGCGGTCATTTGGTCTCACAAGTGTGTGGTGTGTTTCTTCGCCGGTCACACTCACGATGGTGGCTACTGTGAGGACCCCTTCGGTGTGCACCACATCAATCTAGAAGGGGTTATTGAAACGGCTCCGGACAGCCAGGCTTTCGGCACTGTTTATGTCTATCCTGACAAAATGGTGCTGAAAGGTAGAGGCAGAGTTCCAGACAGAATTATGAATTATAAGCGGGAAATCCAGCTTTAGTCTGATTTATCTTGTTCATGGCTATAGAGGGAGAGTGGTGGCTGAGCGCTGTTTTTGTCTCTCTCTCCCCTCCCCCGGTCCTCAGGCTGATTGTGTAGTGTTCTATTTGCATAACAAAATGTATTTATGGCCTCAGTACGCGCTAGCTCCTGAGATATTCTGAAATGTCACTTCTGGGTAATCTATCCAGCACCGAGGATTGGAAACAGAATGAATGAAAGCCGCCTGAGTCATCCAGGGAGGAGAGGCGGGCGGCGTACTTCTCAAAACTGACTTCATTTAGCCTTATCTGATTTTTTTTTACTTTTTACAAGGAGGATGTATCCATGTATTAACATGTAACTTAAAATTCGTAATAAAAAAATAAAACCAGCTCAGGTAAGCTTTCTCTATGTATCCTGCTGTGTGAATGAACTTTGGACATTTTTTGCTCCGAATACCTGTCATGTTTGTTTGTACATTTGTAGGCTTGTATCCCTGTTGTGTAAACCACAAAGAAGTTCTTTCACAGGTGAACGTGTGGTCTCCCGCGTGAGGCCATGAGAAGGGCCTCCCGAGAAGTCACGTGGTGGCCTTGTGATTCTAAGCAAAGCAGGACCAAGGGCCAGTGCGGCTGTGTGCCTGCCGGTGTGTGGTCCGTTTGGGCAGCAGCTAGAGACAACAGGGGTAAATGAATTTACTCTTGACTCCCTTTTTAAACAAATGGGGCACGTTAACTGGGTAGTCCTATGTGCTAAGGCTTATCTGTGGCAACACTTACTAGATAGCAAAGGGACTTTTGGAATGCAGAGAAGGTTTGATTCAGGGCCTAAAAACATCAGGAGAGGTGAAAGCAGTACTAGTCAGTGTCCGCGTGCCTGCCGAGTGCCCAGGCCCTGGGGGAACAGAGGTGTGTTCGTGTTCTCTGGCTGCTGTGGCAAATGACCACCACTTTGGTATTTTCAGACAGCCCTTACATGCTCTCTTACAATTCTGGAAGCCAGAAGTCCGAACGGTTTTCCCTGGGCTGAGCTCAAGGCGTGGTCCCCCCTTCAGGGCCTCCATGGCAGAATCTGCGTCCTAGCCGGCTTCCTGCATTCCATTCCTGGCCCAAGGGCCCTTCCTCCATCTTCAGACCAGCAAGGCAGCCTCTTTAAACCTCCGTCTGTGTCCGCCTGCATTTTATCAGAACCGTTGTGATTACTTCCAGGCTCATCTCCCCATCCCAAGATCTTTAACTTTATTGTATCTGCAAAGTCTGTTTTGTGATGCAAGTAACGGTCCTGGTTCTGGGGACCAGGGCCTGGATATCCTTGAGGGTCGTGATTCCGCCCACCAGAGAGGCGACTGTCACGTGCTCCCTGCAGTCACCGACCTTACCATCGATAGATCCCAAATGTGTAAAGAAGGGCCTGGAATGTGGAGAGGGTGGGGGGGGAGTTTAACGGGACTGATCATGACTTGAAGGAGGAGAAAAATGGTTCTGTCAGGCGGGCAGAATAGTGTGAGCAGAGGTCAAAGGGCATGTGAATTTAGGGGGGACAGCTACCTCTGAAGAATCACGGAAAGGGCCTGCGGTGGGGGCGAGAAGCAGGCCTGTGTGGTAAAGAGCCTTGAACGATGAGCCCACAGTTAGGACTGGGCTTGTCAGACAGCAAGGAGTCATCGTTTCTGCGGGCGAAGGTGTGATTAGATCTGTGTCGCAGGCCCAGCAGCAGATAAGGAGAGGCTGCGGAGAGGAGTGCCAGAGGGAAGAAGAGAGACGGTGGCAAGGCAGAGGCGTGGATAACAGAGACCTCGAGGTTACCAGAATTCAGCTGGGAGCTGGAGTGTGCAACAATCTGTGCAGCAGAGACTCCTTTCAGGAGGCAGTGCTTGCGACGTAGCAAAGGGATTGTGTAGAATAGAAACACAGAATTCATAGGGTGATTCCAGAGGTGCAGATGAAAGTATATTTTGAACATCCCCTTTTTCCTTTTTTAAAAATTGGAACATTTCTGTCTTTTAAGCACAGAATCACGCATTCCTTGGAGGATAGGTAGACCCTAGTAGAATTTGCAAGTGAATCCGTTTTTTTTTCACGGGTGATTTTAGTAGTTACATTAAAACAGATGTACAAACCGTATCATGGAAGCTAAATGTTCCCTGGAACACGGGGTCTTTTATCTGTACTTGACTGACCCTTAAAATAAATTTTACATTACTTGCTTTAATATCCACTAGATTTTTCTTTCCTTTTCCCTCATCGAAACCTTAATGGAGAACTTTGCCTGTCCAGTGGCCATTGTGTAAAACAAACAAAAACCTTACATACCTCCTTTAGCAAATGTTTATAGAATACTTAATATCGTATTAAAGGCTATAAAAATAGACAAATGGACTAACTTATTTCCACTCTCCCGATATATGGCTGGTAGTCATAGTTTTTGAGTGAAATATTTCCTAAATCTCATGGGATGGAATCTTGACTCCAGACGTGGATGCTAGCAGATGTAAAACAATCACCGTCCAACAAAAATATGACATGAGCCGCAGAAGTAATTTAAAAGCAGTCACATTTTATAAAGTAAATAGAAACATAACAATTTTAATGATATATTTTATATTAAAGTCAAATATATGAAAATACCATTTCAGCATGTAATCAACATCAGAATATTTTACATTTTTTGTACAATGTTGTTAAAATGCAGGATCTATTTTATACTTAATAAGCCATCCACTGATACTACATTCTCACTGGAAATACTTGATCTATACTGAGGTATAAAACTTGCAGTTAAAGAAGTAGATTCGCATGTCCAGTTCCAAACACACTTCAGTGTTCCAAACACATAAGTTTTCTAATAATTGAATTGACATGTTTTAAAATTAAAATGAAAAAAGGAAGATTTTACTTCCTCAACCTGGCCACATTTCAGGTGCTCAGTGCAACATGTTACGGTGATGTTATCACGTAATGTTCTCATGTCATATGTAAGCACCATAGTGATGTTTCCATGTTCTGTGTGGGAGTCTGCACCACTGTGACACTCCCATGTTTGTGTGTGTGTGTGTGTGTGTGTGTGTGCGCGCGCGCATCATGGTTGTGGTCCTGCCGGTTACGACTTTGGAGAGTACAGCTCCAACATGATCTTCTCCCCGGGGTTACCTTTGGCACTCATTTAAAAAAAAATCTGTATAGATTTCGGTCTTATTTTTCATTTACATTGTAGTTTATAGTCCCTCTTTCCTTTTGGTCCCAAATTCCTTTATTCTATCTACCCCCTCCTTTCTTTCTAAGACACGCTCGTTCATTTCCCATCCTCATTTAGTTCATGGCTTGGCTCTGGTCCCATATAGTGAGTTCAGTGCAGGGGTACAGCCCTTTCTTGAACCTCTGTGTCTCTCCTATCACCTAAACCCCGCTTTGCTCTGTTTTAATCAGTGGTTGCCCCTTATAAGCACTTGGTATTTTGGGAGTGCTCTCATATTCTCCAGTTTAATCCTTGCAACTGCACAAGTGAGTAGGAGATCTGGCATTAATCCTTTCTTACAGACAAAGACATCCACCAGGAGGTTCCCATATTTGCCCAAGTCATTTAGATAGTGATAAGCTGAGTTAGAATTTTTATTTCTGAAACTTTGTTCTGCCTTTTCTGCTACACTGACACAACTGAATGTCAGACCCCACCTCTTCCCAGTCCCACGCAATCCCCGTGCTGTGTCGCAGGCATCCTTGAAAAGTTCTTGGGAATTTTTTTTTAATCCCTTCTAATATTCACTCAAATTACCTGAAATAAACTCCTAGGAAATTGGCCCTTTACAACCATGTCTATAAACAATTGATTAACAATACTCATTTGAAGAGGAGAATTCTTGAGTTCATTTAAATTACTGTCTTGCAGTGAACTGGCCAGGAGGACCTCATCTCCTTGTTTATGTAGATGTAGATCCAAGAGATGAATGGGAGGAGAGCGATTACCATGGCAGTAGCTAACTGAATTCTTCCACCAACCGGATTCCTATAAAGACACACAGGAATTATTATCAATAAAAATCCATCCACGGAGCCACCCAGGCACCCCCAGGAGATCTTCATTCTTAGTGCAAATCTTTGTTGTTTGGATGTGTTGTAAATAGCTTTTCCCACTTGCATAATGATGTCTTTTGAGGAACTGAAGTCACTGATTGATTGGCCAGTGTCAAAATTGATCTTTTCCTAATGATTTCTGTGTCGTGTTTAAGAAAGCTTTTCCTCCTCAAGGTCTTGGAGATTTGGGGTTATCTTCTCTAAAAGCCTTCCCATTCTGCGTCTCACTTTAGAGTTCCTGGAACTGACGTTTATGAAAGTGAGCTAGGGAAGTTCGTCTGTGTGGGCTTCCGTCGATCCAGCCCTTGTTCGGAGGTCTGCCTTTCTTTGCTGTACCTGCCCTGTTTCCTCTGTCCTGAGTCAACGGTCTGCTTGTGTGTGGACCTGTTCCTAGAGTCTAGTCTTTTATTAGTTTATGCTTTTACCGGTTTATTTTTAAACCTTTTACAGGTTTATCCTTTCACTTACTCAGATCTTCTTTAATTTCTCCCACAATGTCTTGCAGTCTTATTTATAGAGATTTTACCCACTGCTAGGTTTACTCCTAGGGAGTTGATTTCTTGATGTTATTATCTCTGGTTAACTTTTTGTTTTTATCATTTTGTTACTTGTTGATAAAAATGCGGCTGGTTTCGGTACATTAACCCGGTGTGTGGAAATCGTGCTAAACTCACTCACTCTGTAACTTTTTAGACCCTGTTTGATTTTTTGGCATATGCAATCATGTCAGCCGTGGATAATGAACATGTTTCTTTTCCCGTTGTTGTGCCTCTTCTTTTTTTTTGCCTTATTGGACTGGCTACGATCCTAGCTAGAGCACTGTTGAGCAGAAGTGGCAGTGGGGCCTAACCCTTTCCTGATCCTGATCTCAGAAGGAAAGTTTTCAGCTGCTCACCACTGAGTCTCAAGCTTTGGTGCTTACACCATGTCCCAGGTTCAGTTCCTTTCTACACCTGCTAAGAGCTCTTATGAACAGATAATGAATCTTACCAAATGCTCTTTCTGAATAGATTGAGAAGATAGTTTATTTTTTCCTGTTAGTTTATTCCTGATAGTTTATTATTTTCTGTTAATGTGGTAGAAAACACTGATTGGTTTTTGAATGTTAAACTGTGTTCCTAGAATAAACCCCAACTTGGTGGTTGGGTTATATATTGCTGGATTTGATTCCCTAATGCTTTGTTTAGGATTTTTCAATCTGTAGTCATAAGTGAGACTGCCTCATAATTTCTTTGCTTTCCCTCCCCCTTTTAAAATGTTCCTGTCAAGTCTTGGTATCAAGATTATTCTGTTCTTATAACATGAATTATAAAGTGTTTCTTCTTTTTCTGTTCTCTGGAGGTGTTTGTTAAAGGTTGGCATTATTTTTCCCTTAAATATTAGGTATGATTTTCCAGTTAGGCTATCTTTGACTTGCCTGTCTGATCTGACCAACCTTGAAGACATCTGATTTTAGCTAATAAGTTGAAAGCTTACTTTGATGAACTGTGACATAGGCCCATCCATACTGTGATAATCAGCAGACCAAACAGCTCCCTGTAAAATGACACACATTTCAGATTTTTGAAGTAGCTATGAGTGAGATGCCTATCCTCCCATTCTCTCCATGACCACTAGCTTCTGCTGATTATTGGAAGACTTCCCTCAAGATACACAGTATCTACAGAATATTCTCAAGTCTGGCTATGACTCAAAAATTACCTTTTTTTCTCAGATACTTTAAAGGCTTATATGAAAATAAGTTTCATCTTATGAGACAGATGTGAACGCCATCCTTTTCCCCCAACTTCTAAGTGAACAACAACAAAAAACCAACAAAATGAAAACACAAATAAATCACTTATTTCAGGTCACTGGGAGGAGTATAATACAACCCAGAAAACTATCCCAGATTTATCAGGCATCAATTTTACATTGTTTTAGAGTGTTATCTGTTGGTCAGGATGAGCTCAGATCCATAAATAATGGAGCGCCTGCTGCAAAAGACTGGGTCACATCTTAGGGGAGAGGAATGATTTGTAAGATGAGTCAGGCTAATAATTTTGGGGTGGGTCTATGCTTCTAGAAGTGTGTGTTAAAAGCACACACCTTTTACACAGAGTAGAAAAGTCCTATTTGGCCCTGGTACCATTGTAACTTGTGGGCCTCAAGGTGGTGGAGGTAATTTAGCCCATTGGGTTGACGGTCCCGTGGGCAGACCCAACCTGATTTGCTCTCCAGTTTCCCAAGGATTAGGGCCTATAACAAAGTAACACTTCACCAGGGCTGATTACCTTCCACATCTCTAGATCTCAGTGTTAGCAGTAGGATGGGCAGGAAGGACAAGGGGCTATGCATGAGGCCAGGGAGTCAAAGATGGCAGGGAGCAAAGGAAGAGGTGATGAAATAGGAACACATGGCCTTGACAAAGGGAGGAGATGACATGGGACATAGCAGGGCAAGGCTGACAGAGGTGGACTTAACATACTGACCTCTGATTTGGCTGATCACACTTGTAGAGATTTTGGCCGGAACCACAACTAAATCAGAGTGCTGACAGAGCTTTCACCTCATGAGACTGGACCGAGTATTACTGTATGGTGTCCTTGCTCGTTCATTGTTAAGGGAGCCAAGGTCAACTGCCAGACAGTAATGTAACGTGCGTGCTGACTGCCTCTGACTGTGGTTGCAGAACGTGATACACGGTGCTGGGTGTGAACCCTGGTTCATTTCCTGCTTCTTCAGCTTATCAAGGAGGTAATACCTCCCCTGCTCCTTATGGTGTAGTTGGGGGAGCTGAGTCATCTTGGTGCGGATAAGGGGTTACAGAGGAATGGATTTCTCCCTTCTACCCCACCCCTTCCAAGGAGCAAAAGTCATGGCTCACCTGCCTTCTTCCTCATGCAAGATGCTCTGTTGGGAGTGAAGCCAGAGGTGGCCCGCCAAGCCGACAGCCCACGCGATACAAAAGAATATGTGTATTGCGGAGACACTCTTCCAAATAAAATTGCCTAAAAACAGAGATTCTGGAGCTGTTAATCCTGGAATCACATTCCAGAGAAAAACGATCTCTTTGTACCTGCTCTGCCATAGTCTGCTTTCAGGTAAACCTTCAGAAAAAGCTGGGGTGGCGTCTGGCTGTATCAGCAGAGCGTGTGACTCTTGATCTCTGGGTCATGAGTTCAAGCCCTATGCTGGGTGTGGAGCCTCCTTAAAAAAGAGCTAGGTTTCTTTAAGTTTTGTGTTGAGGGACATCACAGAGGTTAAAGCAGTAGCAATAAACCTAGGCGAACGTTTAGTGTTTTGGTTGCCCAACGTGTCCCCTTTCTGTGACGACTACCTTTTATTTTCTTCGGAGATCCACCCTTCCCATACACCCAGGCCATGTGTCCCAGACCTTTGAACCTTAGCTTGATCAGCCAATGCATTTCATTCCTGTAGCAAGCGTGATCTGGCTCCGAATGAGCAGATGACAGATCAGGGCCCACAGCTCAGTTCTGAGACTTTTGCTTAGCCATCTAGGGAGCAGGTTCTATCTTCTGTTGGATGGAGTGTCACAAAGACGTGAACTTGGGGCCGCCGGGCTACCATCTAGGGGCCCGGGGCTGAAGTCAGAGTGGCACATGACGGGCTGCGAGGTGCAGAGAAGTTCAAGTTCTGAGCCACCAGCCGCGTGTGAAGCCAGCACTGCTGACTTTCTCCCTCAAGTGTCCCAGTGCATCTCCTTTGTAGCTCACAGCCCGTTTGAGTTTTTTCCTTGCCTGCGACTAACGGAGCCCGAACTAAGCCCATGCATCCGGGGGACAGGAGTTTTCCCCACCCAGCTGGGAACCACTGGTCTTTCCTCTAAGGTCCTGAGAACTCTGACAGCCCCACCGGCCAGGGTGCTCTTTTCCTGACAGCGGAGAGTAACCCGTCAGGACTGACCGTCCCTAGTAACAAGGAAATATTACCACACAATGTAAAATGTACTTTTTTTGGTTATAAGATACCATTTTATGGTATAAAACTGTCCAACTTAAGGTTTGTTGAGAGCTTTTAGGGCTGTTAAAATCAAAGCCACTATGTTTCGCCCAGTGTTGAGGTAGGCAGCCTGTAGGTAGTACAAACCAGCTATTTTAAGCAATTTTTTTTTTAACGTGTATACCCACCTGGGATGGATGGATGGATGGAGATATATATATTTATTCCAGTGAGCAGGAAAATATGTGATAAAGCCTCTTCTAGCCGTTCATTTACGTTCAACAAGCATTAAGTACCTACCATCTTCCTAGCTGTATTTCAGCGAGGCTTGGGCAAAGATGGGCTAGACATGGACCCCCTTTTAAGAGGCTTACAGCCTCGCAGGGGAAACACACACAAAAGCATGCAGTAAATCACTCTATATACTATGACGGTACAGAGGGAGGTTAGGAGAGCAAAAGGGACGAATGAAAACCCTAGACATTTGTATGGACGTTATAAACCGCTTCCCTAAATAAGTAGCAGGCCATATATGAACGTATTGAATGGATTCAGAATAAGAAGGTAGTCCCTGGGAGTGGTACTGGACCCTGATGGCTACTGACTAGAGAGACACACGGTCTGTGCTCTGCTGCTGATTTTCCCTTAGCGTGAGAGATCAGCGTGGTGACTGGAGCCCCTCTCTCTCATGGGCGACACTGCAGAACCCCTGCTCCACTCCAGCACAAGTGATCTCGGGTTCTGAGCTGCTAAAAAGGCTGTCTTGGTGTGACAGGTCCTTGTGAAGTTTGCCTGAAGATGGGTGAGGGTGATCTAAATATAGAATTAGTCCCTATTGGTATCAGCAATGAGGAGACCTGGAGGGCCCTGTTTTTCTCCCGGGACTCTGTCCTTATTGTCAGAAATCGGATTTGCTCGGTGTCCGTGCAGAATCCAGGGTCCATACCCGTGACAAGAGGATTAAGTCCCACAAGCAGGCTCAGCAGCGCAGGTATCATGTACACCACCTATTAGCGAAGAGGAAGATGACAGGGGTTAGAAGTATGCCCGATCTGGGGGGTGTGCAGAGGGATCTAGGAAGCACAGAAAGGTGGTGAGACCCCAGACTCACTGACCGACAGTGTCTGCATTAGGCTAGATTGGGCTCTTCATTCTGGAACTGCCAACAAGCTGTTTTGGAGTTGGGAAGACGGGCCCTGTGGAGGCCATTTTCAAGCCTCATGCTTGGCAGATGGGCTCCAGCCAGACCTGCTATGGCGAGCGTGTTGTGGGTCGAGAGCAAACAGAGTAGGAGACGTGGTGGGTTTCCAAGAAATGCAGCCGCTTCACTGTATCCACGGTGACACGCACATCTGACGTCTTCCCTTATTTGGGAATTGTCAGAGCTGCACTCGTTAAGTGATTGGTTTTCACCCCAGCAACATGTCTGTCTGGATCCCGGGGAGAGAGGGCTTCTGGATTACAGACACTGTGTCCATCTTTCCTGCTCCATCCCTAATGAGGGCCAGGACTGACATTTGCTAAGTCTGGTCATCTCTCACAGGAAGGCGTTCATGCTACTGAGGGGTAAGACAAGGGCTTCCCAAAGTTCAGTGTGTATATGAATCGCCTGGAAACCTTGTTAAAATGTAGATCTGCAGTCAAATGCTCTTCCACTGAGCTGTACCCGCAAAATGTAGATCTGATTCTAGAGGTCTGGGGTATGGCCCAAATTCTGCTTTTCTAACAAGCTCCCAGGGGGCGCTGCTGCGGTTGTTCTGAGGGCCACAGCTGTAACAGGAAGGGGGTAGTTTTCTCCTAATGAGAACCTACATGACTAGCCACTGAGAAAGAGGAGGGAGAGAGAGAGAGAAGTTACACACACACCATACAACATTTAACTGTGCTCTCTATAAGAAAGGTTTGGCAGAGATTTTTAAAAGTGTGTACTCAAATGTATCAGATATCTGTCATTAACAGATTAAGGGATCTGAGACTTTCTTATATCTTTTGTTATAACCACATGAACACAATAACCCTTTGAACTAAACAGTGGTTTCTCACCGGAGTTGTGCCATGTTAATCCCTAAATGCTTTTCTCTATCTCAAATAAGATAAATTTTTTTTGAGGACCAAGAGACTGAAAATAATGGTTTCTAGTATATAAGGTAAAATAATACACAGCATACTCAATAATGAACTCAGTAGAACCCACTTATAATGATCTTTTATTTTCATGTTGGTGTATTTTTTTTAAACCCAGAGTATCATTTTACAATATTTCATTCACTATATAGTTCTTGAGTACAATGGCATTTGTTTTGTTGTTGTTTTATTTGTAAAGATTTTGTTTTAATTTTTAAGATTTTATTTGTGAGAGAGAGAGCAAGTGTGAGAGAGGGTGTGCACAAGCAGGGGGAATGACAGGCAGTGTGGACAAGGGACAAGCAGGTTCCCTGCTGAGCAAGGAGCCTGATGGGGGGATCGATCCCAGGATCCTGGGTTCATGACGTGAGGGCCTAAGGCAGACGCTTAACTGACTAAGCCACTAGGCATCCCAAGACTTTATTAAGTCATCTCTACACCCAACCTGGGGCTCAGACTCACACCCTGAGATCAAGAGTCACAGGCTCTACCCACTGAGGCAGGCAGGCACTCCCGCCATGGCATTCATTCTTAATGTCTCTCTCCTTTGTCCACTTGCCATTATAAAACTGAAAAAGCCAATATTTTTTCCCAGTGTCTTCAGCTAGGGGTGATCATGCTCCAGCCATGAAATGTAAGAAGTCTTACAGGGGCAAGGCTGATACTCAGAACATTTTAATAGCCAATATGCAGACACTGACCAAGCAGGATGGGTCCTAGACCATAAACCATATTGGTATGCACACACTGTCTGAAGGGCTTTTTGGGTAACATTTCCTCCCTGATAAAAGGGGAGAAAGCTCAGGAGGAAAAACTGTTTTGCTCCTGTCTTGTTCCTTCCTACTTGGGATGCTCTTGTCTGGGCATGATGTATGGAGCTGCGGCAGCCATTCTGTAGACATGAGGGGATATATCACTCATACACTGGAGGTGGCAGAGAAGAAACCCAGGAAGCCCAAGTCTTTGACGATGTTGTCAGCATTAAGCAGCTGTCTCTGGACTTTTTGTTAAGTGAGATACTCTATTCTAACCTGATGCTAGTCAGATTTTCTGTTATTTGCTCCCATATGCATCCTGATTACAGGCATCCTTCATGAGCAAGATGGAAGTAGGGGACATGAAAATGAGTCAGGCATGGCTCAAGTCCCCAAGCCCTGTTACATTCTACTGGCTCATCTGTGCATGCTTTCATTCAAGAGTCAATACAAAAGGGCTGTCCTAGGGAGGGTCAGTGTTAGGTTGCCTGAGGACCACCAAGAAGAAGTGGTCCCTGTTCTCCCAGGAGCTGGCGTGTGCAGAACCAAATCGAATACACAGCAGAATGTGTTAGCATTAAAAAGTTCAAAGGAAGGACGGTTGGAACCTATGGTACAGAGGTAGAGGGATTTTTTTGAGGGACAGAGCATTTGAGACAGACTTCAAAGTGTGGGTATGACATACAGGAATTCTAGGGGCAAGACACAGTATTATAGGTAGATTGGGCTTCCAAGACCATTCTGGAAAGAAGCAGCTCCAAGAATTAGGAAGCTACTACAGGAGTCCATGTGGGAGGTGACAGAGGGTTAAACTGGCAAGGAGGGAGGATGTCTGTGGGGACACAGTGTCTATTATTATTCATGCTGTGACACCTGAGCATGGAGTGGGAGGTCAAATACACGCATACCTCACAGATAAGTAGCTAGACCTAGACTGGGTTTTGCTGGATTGCTTTGTTCTTCATTTTATTCCTTAAAAGGATCTCTAAGGTGGTGATAAGAAACTGAGAGATGTTAGAGATACCTGTGGTCTGGAGCAAGGATGACCCTGGGGATGATTCTGCTGTTGACAGAAATGACTGAGTCAGGAGGAGGTGGCGATTTAGGAGGGAAAGATGCTGTAGGACCTTGGCGTGTTCGAGAAGTCAGTGTTGGAAATTCAACATTAAGCTGGGTATTGGAGACTTGTCTGCAGTGAAATAATATTTGGAACTCAGGATATAGACCAGAGTGCTGAGGAATGGGCAATTTGATTCAGTGCAAGGGCATGTGAGTCCAGACAAGAAGCAATGTCACATTGAGTTCTACTGCACTAAAAACACTGACCAGAACTTTACATTACAGATCCAAATGCTTTCATTTGTTGCTAATCTGTATAGCCAATATTATTCCAAAGCCGAAAATCATCTCATTGGTGATACTGCACAGTCTTATGTATCTGTTTTGAAAGAAACCAGACAAAATCCACACATTTCAGAAAATGTGTGGAATGATCTCCCTCTTCTCCAAATAACTCAACCAAGAACATTGGTTAAATGTAATCTGTAGATTTTATGGGCTTTAATTACTTTTTATAAACATAACACTGAATTACAAGAACCGCACACCCTAAGCCTGCCATTTTTATGGTCGAACGTTTGTTGGAGTTTCTGGGTAGAAACTCATGAGGAAGGGCTCAGTTGGCCTTGGGAGGTCTACTGTGTATCTTCAGAAAAGTGTCCTTGGTTGGCCCATTTTTATTCAAAGGGAGTACTGCTGAAAGGCCCCTAATGTCTCTGGAAAGTTCTGAATGCTCACACTCCTTACCTTACCCACCACTCTGATTCCTCTCCCCTGATATTTTAGGGAAATGACCTGGTTTCTAAGTTCTTATGTACATAAGGCAGGGAGGCGGAACAAATAGAGAAAACCGTGTTTTGTGTCGTTCCGCGTTTCCTGGAAACGTTGGAAAGCAGCTTATACTCACCATCCACAGTTCTGCATCGGGATCATTGACCTGGAATGCCAAAACATGCGGCATTAGCAGTCATTCTGTGGTCCTGCCCTCCCTTTGACCTGCTCTGGGATCCACCGCAGTGATGTTTTGTGCCAGACGCTGCACTAGGCAGCGAGGGTACAAAATGGGACTAAGACCTAGTCTGGCAGGTCGCAGCGGTTGAGGGGGCTCTGGCTGAGCACACACACGACGGTGCACAGAACCGCACAGGCTGACCGGAGTACAGTAAGGGCCTCCAGTCTTAAGGAACAAGGACAGCTCCTACAAAGGGGGTCCCAGAGCAGACCGGAGAGGGTCCGGGCGCCACAGCGGGTTCTGTCTGCTTCTTGCCTTCGCCGGGAACCACGCTGGGTCCCCAACCCAGGCTCCTCTGACTCCCAGCACGTGTTATCACAGAGGGGTCGGGCTGTCACGTGGACATGCCTGCCTCTCGGCGGGGGAGGGGGCGGGTGGGGGCGGGGGGGGTGCCCGGGGCGTAACCCCCAATCTCCGTCCTCGGTGTACACGGCCCGCCCCGTTAGTCTACACCGCGCACCAGGCCGGGGGCGGAGCTCTTAGTCCCGCGTCCTGCAGAGCCCGCGGAGCCCCTCGCCCGCCTCCCGCCTCCCGCCTCCCGGGGCCGGGGCGCTGACCTGCACCAAAGCCGCCAGCGCGAAGAACACGGCCATGAGCCAGTTGCAGGCCCGCCACAGGACCGGGGCCCAGCGGCCCGTGGTAGGCGCCATGGGCTCCCCCAGCTCCGGGTGGAACTTGGCGCGGGGCGTGGCGTCGGCGCAGAGCCGGGCGTGGGGGCGGGGACAGGGCGTGGCGATGGCTTGGAGGCGAGTGGATTGGGCGGGACAAGGCGCTGAGCGGGGCGTGGCGTAGGGGGCGGGTGCCTGGGCGGGGACTGGGCCCACCCGCAGAGCTCTTTGCTTCCCCTGGGACCTACCTGTCCTGCGCGGGTTTCTCTGGTCCCTAGGTCCTGAGTGGCCGCTGGCTGCCGCTCGCCGGGTAAGGAGATGGCACTACTAGAGCCTTACTAGTTCTACCATTAGGTTCTCCCCAAAATGTGAGGAAGGAAGGCGTGGTGTCCCCATTTCACAGATGAGGGAAGCGGGTCCCAGAGCGATTGGATGACTTGGCCAAGATCGCAGTGCAGCAGAGGCGCAGAGAACCTGGCTCCGCGGGCCCCAAACAGACCAGATCTGGTCACTGCTCCACTGTCAAACTCCGAAGGCAGGGAGAGGAGTGGTGGGGAAACAAAAAAGGAATTTATTTCAGGGAGGCGGACACCATGGAAGACCGCAGACGGCTGCTCAAAGACTGTCTCCAGAGTGCTGAAAATACTTCCAAATTTACATGAGGAAAATGAGGGACAGGGATGCGTGTGTGAGCTCTGCTGGCCGTGCAGGTGGGCGTGCAGGTCGGGTGGGTCATTGTCTTGGGGTCAGTCTTGGGCGGGGTCTTGCAGGCTGCCGGAAATCCTTACTGTTGGAAGAGTTGGTCCGCTTCCCATCAGGAGTGCTTTGCCCGCAGGGTCTTTTGCCCCAGTTGAGAGATAAGCTGGAAAAGAGACCGCAGTCAGAAAGTTTGAGGTCGTGTTGGAGGTGGTTAGGGTCCACTTTCAGCGCAGGTCATGGGTGGCGGAAGGAGGTCATACTTGAACCCAATAGGTCCATCTCTGCTGCCTGGTCACCAAAGCTGCCTTCCTTACTTGGGAAAGAAAAAAAAAAAAAAAAAAAAAGAGATGGAGAGCCGGAGCGGGGTGGAGAAAGAAAGAGGCTCTGGGTCTGTGCACATTTTCTGATTAGTGTTTATGCATATCTTTCCAGAGTGGGAAGAACTTTCAGTGCCCCGTAAGCATTATGGTAATTTCTTAGTGATGACAGTTAATTCTGGCATCTTACACAGCTCACAGCTTTTCCACAGACAGCCTCATTTATCTTCATGGGCTTTTATTATAAAAGGTATTTACATATTATACATATTTACAATTCTTTCTCACTACCAAAAGCAACAAAATTTCCACACACATTGCTCATGAATTTCTTATGAACTAAAAGACGCTGAAATATTCACTGTTCTCCCTCGTACTTGTTTTACAGTCTTTTTTTGTTTTGTTTTGTTTTGTAATTTATCCTCTGATTAGTCTTCCCCAGGCTCATTTACACATCCATAGGCCTCATCATTTTTGCTGTTCTAAGGAGTCTTTATCACTTCAAATCATGAGCACGTGCTCCTGTCCTCCTCTCCTTTTAGCTAAATCTCCTAAAATGATTTAAGGACTTTTTTTTTTTTTTCCCTGTTTCAGACTTCCTAAGGAATGCTTATTTCAAGAACATCACCTGCTGGGCGCCTGGCCCTGTGCTGAGTGCCAAGCCCAGGAGGGTGGATTTGCCCAGTGTTTTTCTGGAAGGGATCAAGCAGGCTGGTGGAGGGCTGGCTACATGTTGGGGAAAAAGGCCAGTCAGAAGACATGGCTCCTTAGTGAGTTCCACTGCTCAGTCAGCCCTGGGACTGGGGACAAGTTGTGACCACCCTCACTGCCCTATTCCTTACCTGAAAAAAATAATAATAAATGAAGGAGAAGGTAGCATCCCCATGCCAATTCCCATGTTGAAGTCTTGACCCTAATTGCAATTTGGGGGGCACAGGTTTGGGTAGCAGCCCAAATTGTGTCCCATGAGAGAACAGGAGTTGGGTTCCTAAAGACAAAGGGGAATGCTTGCATAGGTCATTTACAAAGAATTCGGATTGGCATTGGTGGCGGAAAGCAAATGTTGGCGAGGTGTAATTGGTTGCCAAGGCTATCACTAAGCAAAAGTCTGTTACTGTAGCCCGCTGCAGGTGTTCACGCAGAGTCCTCGGGATATCTGTGGTCTGGCCCAGTGCCAAAGTTCTACCCAGTGAGAATGTGTGTAAGGCCCACCTCCTTAATGGTCTCCTGGCTCCCTTTATAAAACCCCTTGACATAAGTGACTCCATTTTGTTTCATCTTTCACTGGGAGCGAGGGTCTTCAAAGAAGTAATTAAGTTAAAATGAGGCCATTAGGGTGGGTCCTAATCTGATATGACCCGCATCCTTCTAAGAAGTGGAGATTAGGACACAGACACACAACACACACAGCAGAAGGACCACGTGAAGAAACGGAGAGAAGATGGCCATCCGCAAGGCCAAGAGGGAGGCCTTGGAAGAAACCCACCCTGTTGACACCTTGACCGTGGACTTTCCACCTCCAGAATTATAGTCTGAAGATAGCTGTCTGTTGTTTAGGCTTACCAGTCTGTGGTGCATTGTAATGGCAGCTGTAGCAAACTCATGCAGGGAGGGATTCTAATACCTGCTCGGCCAACCAGACAGGAGTGTGCGTGGCAAGGAAGGAATGGTGTGAAAATGGTGTGCCATAAAGCCACTGTGGAGTTTTTTACTTTTCACTGTTGTCTGGGACCTTCCGGATCACTGTGTGGACATGGGTTCTTTTCACTTGTACAGTCTTCATTCCCCTTCTTCTAGGGTTGGCATCCCAGTTATTTGGGAAGGGACCCACCTCCCGCTATTAGGGTGTGGATACTCAGAGGGCTGACTATGCTGCCCCCTTTCAAAAGATAAGGAGGTGACCCTGGCCTGCTGCTTGGCGTAACCCATCCTCCTGACCACAGTGACTGGGGTCTGGGATGGTATGTGGTTCCAACTGGCCAGGTGGTTCAAACAGGTCCTGGGACCTGTGCTGGACTGAGGTTGCCAGACAAAGTACAGAATTTGCATTTTGGATCAACAGGGAATACTTTTTTAGTATAAGCCTGTTCCCAGTATTTGCAAAGACTGGTAACCCTAGCTAGACTATTAGTGAAGGGCTTTCTTTTTCTGCTGATTATGATGGGCTGATGGCTTATGGGCCGACGCTACCAGGAGCAAGCCTTTCCTGAGGGTACACTGACATAGAAGAATCTGAGCTCTGAGATGAAGGCGGCGGGTGGGTACCTGATGCCATCCCTTGAGGTTCCAGAACCATCCCCGTGGGTCGCTGCGAACGGCCTCTCCACCTTTCAGTTTTGTCAGCCAATGAAGTCCTGCTTTTACGTATAAACCTGTGTGAGTTGGGTTTTTGTCCCCCATGACACCAAACAGCAACTTGCAAAATCATGATTCAGTAGTTAAGCTGATGCTTGAAATCCTTTAGTCCAATTTTGCAAAGATAGGAAAAGTAATGAGAAACAAGTCTAAATGAATGCGATCTCCCAGATAGCTCTCCCATGAGCAAGTTACTTCATCTTCCTTTTAAATTGCCATGTAACACCTCTGCAGGGGCCTATTCTGCTGGCTTCATCTTACTGCGCTGGCCCCCAGCTACCAGGTCAGCGACAGCATCGTGAGATCAGCGAGAGCCCCCAGTGTCGAGTGAAGGGGACTGGGCAGCAGACAGGGATCTGTCCTCAGAGGACTTGCAAATAGAGGGGCTTGCTTGTTCTCTGCAAGTGAGGTTATGAATTCACTGCTAAGGGACCAAGCAGACTCTGGTAAACCCACTTACGGGGCCACGGGAGTGAGGGAGAGCTGGGGAGGGCTAGAACAAATCTAAAAGAAGAGCATCAGCAGAGGGGAATTGGCGGCTGTGGAAATACACAGAGTCCTGTCCGCCCAGGGGGCAAGGGCAGGCACAGCCCATCCCGGCCTAGGCCAGAGAGGTGGTTTGCTCCCCTGGCCGTGGACGCTCACACTTCCCTGTCAAGCCATCCTCGTGGAGGCTGGTGTGGACCGAGAGGCGATTCACAAGCTCCGTTCCTCCCCTTGCTCTGGTTCTAGAGCTCTAGATCCAGAGAGAACGGCCTCACACCCACCCGGCCTACAGAGTAGAGAAGGAGATGACGTGCAGCGCCAACCATTGGTTGGTTTCTGAGTGCTCAGGTGTGATCCCGATAGTGCCGTTCTCTTGTCTAGACTTGCTGACCTTGTAGACTCGCTGACCTTGTAGCCGTCCCCCTCATCAGTCCTGCCAGCGGGGTCAGCCACTCTGGAGTGGGATGGAGAGGGAGAGACAGGGTCTGCGGCTGGATCCTCATCAGTGAGGGGACCCTCGCTCTGCAGAGTGTTCTAAATGTGGGTGTTGGTGATGCTCCCTGGATGACGTGTTTGGGGACTGAGATGACAGGGAACAGGAGTCCTATCCTGTGCCAGAGACTGTCCCATCCACCTTTCTCTATCCACCATGCTGGATGTCCACCCTTCCCTCCAGTCTGCCGAGTCTGTGTCAGGAATCTGCTGTCGTTGGCAGGGGATGGGGTTAGAATAGGACAAGGGAAGGATCCTATTCCCAGCTATAAAGACTGCTCCCTCCCAGGCTCTCTGAAATCAGACATGCATCTCACTGTGACGAGGACTGATTTGCTCTTGCAAAACCCATCTGGTCTCCGTAAAGGACTTGGTTTCTACTGCTAGCAAAACTCAGACCATGTTGTGAAAGCCTTAAGGCTTATTCATCCCGATTGACAATGAAAGATGCTAGGCTCAAATAGTGTTCCTCGAAATCCTGGATGTCCCCTTATACCTCCAGAGGGGAAATATGTACAGCTCAGTGTACCCTCTATGTGTATTTCTGTGCATCACTCTGCTCCCCATCACAGTCACTAAATATTTATTCAGGACTTCCTACGTGTCAGACACTCTGCTGATAACCAAGGTTGTGACTGTGCACAGGACAGACATGGTCCTTGCCCTGTGGCATGGGAAGACTGAACAGTAATCA